CTGAGGAGCGTTCTGTTGAACTCGTCTGCTGCAGCAGAAACATGACTTGGAGGTGATAGGCGGTCGGGTGTGTGCCTCGAGGAAAGCCGCGGTCCGCACAGCCACGCTGAGAAGCCACGCGAACATGGACCCTGGTCAACGCGTCGCGAGCTGTCACCCATTTGCTCACCACCAAATCGGTGACAGCTCGCGAACCGGTCACCAGAGCTACGACGGGCATCTGGCTCCCCAGAAATGCTTCTCGAGCATCTCAATCCTTGGTATCGCCCCGCATCAGAATTCGAGCCAACCCCCTTTATCGCCCTCTTCTTCCGAGCTCCTGTCAAGCTACTCCTCTGCCATGCATACCACCTTCTCATATGTCTGCGCTCAACCCCGAAGCCTCTACAACATCCATCCATTCGAGTCGTTTGCATCTCTGATACGCACAATTTGATACCGGAAGATGTACCGGAAGGCGATCTGCTCATCCACGCTGGGGACATGACCAATGACGGAAGTGTGGCAGAAATACAGAAACAAATAGACTGGCTGAGCTCGCTCCCGCATAGAGAGATTGTAGTGATCAGTGGGAACCATGATACTTTTCTGGATCCAAGGACACGGCCTTCGCTGTCCGAACAGCACAGGACTGGAAGGCTCAATTGGAAGAGGGTACACTACCTGCAGCACCGACGGTTGAGCCTAACGATCAAGGTTGAGCCTAGAGATGGCGATCAGATGGAAGTTACCACACCCTTGCTTGCAGCGGAGCCAGGTCAGAGGAGGATACGAATCTACGGCGCACCGCATATACCAGCGTGTGGAGACATGAACGTGCATGCCTTCCAGTATGAGAGGGGTCGAGACGCCTGGTCAGAAACTGTGCCTGAAGACATCGATATATTGGTCACACACACACCGCCGAAATACCATTTGGATCTATCATTACCGACAGGGATCGGCTGCGAGCACCTCCTTGCTGAGGTCAGGCGCGTGAAGCCCACACTACACGTCTTCGGCCATGTGCATTGGGGCGCAGGGCAAACCGTAGTATGGTGGGACAAAGCTCACGATGCATATGTGCGAGGGCTTTCAATCAAGTCCAAGTGGACGCGGGGTATTCTGAATTCAAAGCTTTGGTGGAATGTGGTCAGGGTCGCCTACCGTGGCACAAGAGAGCTGCTCTGGGATCGCGTGTGGGGTGGGCAGAGTCCAAACACTATCATGGTCAATGCAGCTCAGACGCGTGGAAATACAGGCAAGTTGGGCAATTCTATCCAAGTCGTCGACATTTGATATCGTCCATCACATAATACCCAAAGCAGTCGTAATCGTAATGTGTAAACCTCATAATCAACACAGCAGTAAGCACTTGATTGTCGGGAACTCTTTTCGAACTAAAAAGGGTTCTGTTGATTTAGCTTGACTACCTCGCAGGAGAAGCCAAGTACAACAAGGAGACCAGGCGATTCGCCGTTCCCCGCGACTTTATTTGATTGTGGTCATGAAACCATAAATCGTGCATACCATGCCATGCCATATTCCACCACTGAGCCAATGATTTGCGCACATGCTCAGAGACGACGACCACGGCGACCACCCTTCCTCCTGGTGGAGTCGGATGGGGTGGGAGTAACGTCCTCGATACGTCCGATGCGCATACCAGCACGGGCAAGCGCGCGGAGGGCGGACTGAGCACCGGGGCCGGGGGTCTTGGTGCCGTTACCACCGGTGGCACGGATCTTGACGTGGAGAGCGGTGATACCGAGTTCTGCATATGTTAGTTCCTATTCCCGTTGCAGATTATCAATTCCAGTCATCTTACCCTTGCAGCGGGCAGCAACGTCCTGAGCTGCCAACATGGCGGCGTAGGGAGAGCTCTCGTCACGGTCGGCCTTGACCTTCATGCCCTTTTGTACTGGTCAGCGTATGTCGCATGCAGTCGGTATGTCTGCACTTACACCGGTGACACGGGAGATGGTTTCGCGGCCAGAAAGATCGGTGATGTGGACGAAGGTGTCGTTGAAAGAAGCGAAGATACGGGCGACACCGAAGACAAGCTCACCCTGCGCTGCTGTCAGTCCATGTCGTCGCGATTTCCAATATCTGCTGGTCACGCACCTCGCGAACCTGGGGTCCGAGTTGGATGTTCTCCTGGGGAGCGCGGGCAACCTTCTGCTTGGGAGGCATGTTGGCGGTATTATGGGATTCTTGACGTGACTGGCGGTTCGTAACACTGTCGGCGATCGAGTCGAACTTTCGGTGGTGGGAGGTGGAATTTCGCTTGTTCGCGGGTGTCGGAGGAACTGAAACGCCGCGGTTAGCGCGCCAAGCCGACTACTCAAGTTTTCTTTGGCTGCCGCAAGCGACCTGCAGTTCCTCCATCGCTTTGCAATGGGCTGACTTCCTCGACCTCACTCACGCACAGGAGCGTGCGGCACAACAGCAGCCATGGACGACCGCAAGAGCGTCGGTATTATCGGCATGGGCGACATGGGCAAGATGTACGCCCGCCGGCTGAGCACAGCTGGCTGGAAGTGAGTGCACTCGCGCGACTGATAGCTTCGGAGCTCCAGTGTCTTCTGCAAATGGTAAGTTCCTCATCCTCACACCCTCTCCTCCCCCGTTATGATGACCGTGAGTGCATTTGGCTCGAGTACGACGCATGTCCACACTGCTGCCGTCTTGGTTTGCAGTAATTGGGCATGTTGCCGTCCATGATGTGAATTCTCGCTACCTTATTTTATACACCTCTGAACTACAACCAACTACACCGAATTGTTCATTACTGTGGCGCGAACTTTGCTAACCAGTGGCTCACAGATCGAATCCTTTCCGTCGAACACGCTGACATGCTCTCGTTGAAGGGTTCACGCCTGCGATCTTCCAGACAAATTTGATACATTAGTGGCAGAGTTTCGGGACTTTGTAGGATAGCGCTTTTAATATTAATGAACGAACGCATGCTGAGACTGCGCCAGCCCAGAGTTGAGATCATGCAAAGTGGTCATCTTGTGTCTCGCTGCAGCGACTTCATCATATACAGTGTTGAGGCGAAGAACATCGATGCGGTCGTCAAGACTTTCGGTCCCTGTATGCCGTCTCCTGCCGCTGATGCTTGCTGTTACTGACTTGAGCCTACGTTCAGCTACAAAGGTCGGCGCTATAGTTGGTGGTCAGACCTCATGCAAGGCTCCCGAGATGGAGGCTTTTGACAAGCACCTTCCTAAAGACGTCAGCATCGTCTCGGTGCACTCCCTCCATGGACCAGGCATAGACCCGAAAGGGCAGCCACTGGTGTTGATCAAGTACCGCGCCTCGGATGCCGACTTTGCGTTCGTGGAGAATGTCATGTCTTGCCTCGGGTCCAAGCACGTCTATCTTTCTGCCGAGCAGCATGATCGCATCACAGCGGACACGCTGTTACCCATGCCGCTTTCCTCAGTATGGGCGGTGCATGGTTCGCGAACAACCAGTTCCCATGGGACAGTTCACGCTACGTCGGCGGTATTGAGAACGTCAAGATGAACATTACCCTCCGTATCTACTCCAACAAGTGGCACGTCTATGCAGGCCTTGCAATCCTCAACCCAGACGCGAAGAAGCAGATCAAGCAGTATGCTGAATCGGTGACTGAGCTATTTAAGCTCATGCTCGCAGGGCAGCGGGACGAGCTCCGTGATCGTGTGCACACTGCTCGCAAGGCTGTGTTTGGCGATAATGAGGATGGCAAGAAGCTGCTCCTGCGAGATGATTTGCTTGACCGCTTCGCTTTGGGCACGATCCCAGAGAAGAAACTCAAAAACAACCATCTCAGTCTACTCGCCATGGTAGACTGCTGGTGGAAGCTAGGCATAGTACCCTACGACCACATGATCTGCTCGACGCCTGTAGGTCCCGGATTCTCTTTCCTCGCATTGCTCCTTCAAATCCTTGTCCACTAACACGTATTCAGCCCTCGCGCATGTGGCTCGGCATCACGGAGTACCTCTTCTGCAACCCCACACTCCTCGAGGAGGCCATCGACACGGCTATCGACGATAACACATTCCGCGCCGACGACCTGGAGTTCACCTTTGCCGCCAGAGACTGGAGCTCGCGCGTCAGTCTGGGTAACTTTGATGGCTACCGGGAGAAGTTTGAGGAGATCCAGAGATACTTTGAACCGAGGTTTCCAGATGCGACCAAGTTGGGGAATGAGATGATCAAGGTCATCTTGCAGAAAACCCAGGAAACCTGAGGCTCTAAGCAGAACACATTGAAAATGTAGTGATTTTGGAGGATACTCCCTGCGATGATCATACGCACGAAAGTGGACACGGATCATGATATACAGAAGTAGAATGCACGTCGTGGAGTCAAAATATATACATTGCGTGCCTGCTCACATACCCAGCTGAACCAAAGCCTTGTGTTTCCAACTACGCACTTGGGTATCTCACAACTCGATCGCGTCGACCGCTTTCACATTTACTTCCTTGTAGCTTGTCCGGACTCGAACTCAGTACTCTCCCCGATGTCGCAAACCCCAAAGCCTTCTTTGCCCGCCTTAATGCCCTTCCACAAGCCTCTTGCAACTCCTTCGGCGGTGCCATGACCTCCTCCTCAGTCAACACCCACGTACCCCAATGCATACCTAGCGCTCTCTTGCATTTTGTATCCGCGAAGATATTGACAGCGTCTTTGGGGCTAGCATGCACGTTACTGAACATCCAACGAGGTTCGTAGGCACCAATGGGAATTAGACCGAGATCGAAGGGGCCGCGATGTTGGCCAATCTGGGAGAAGGCCGGGCAGGTGGGTAAGTGCGAATACGCAGCCGAGTAGTCGTCTTCGGTGGCTGGAATGCTAGACGGGACCGTGCGATAACCTGTATCACTGGGTAGAGTAAGCATAGGAAATCAATCTTGAGCGTGGGACAAAGCAGACGTACCCAGCAAAGTAGACCTTCGCGCCGCCAGATTCCACACTCCAGCTTGCCCAGAGGGTCTTGGCCTTGTCGAACGGCGTCCTTGCACTAATGTGCTGACAAGGCAGCGCACCAATTGTCGCTGTAATACCACTATTCTTGCCCGCGTCCACCGAACTCACAGAGACAGAGCCAACCCTGCCCCCCTTTTGCGACAATTCCTCCAACTTGACATCTCTACTCTCCCACCAATCTAATTCTGTGACTTTTGTAACCCCGCTCTTCTCAAACCACTCCTTGTTTCCCAGGGGCGCAAAGAAGTGCGCCTCGGGGAATTTCTTTTTCAAGCGCTGGATTGTTGGGTAACTTAAGTGATCGTAGTGGTTGTGGCTTATGACTACTGCGTCGACAATTGGTAAGTCTTCGATCTCACATGGAGGGGGCGTGTAGCGTTTTAGGCTCTTGATAGTGAAGGGTGCGCAGCAATCTTCAAAGACGGGGAAGAGGACGCGAAAGCCGCTCGGGAACTCAACATGGTAACATGCATGCCCAAGCCATGTTGCACGAAGTCTTGGCGTCTCCCGGGATGGAAGGAAAGTCGGTTTGTGGACTGGGATCTGAAGATTGGTGTACCAAGTCAGTGTTCGTCTCACGTACAGTTCGTACAGTGATATTACTGACTGTCGGTGGCGAGGTGTCTGGACTGTTGGCTTGACCGGTAATTTTGCGCCTACGCCAGAAGTGTTAATTCGCAGCTTGCCAATTCGCCATGGGATTTCCGTGAGCTGGACTTACCAAAGCATGCCCTTGATGAGCAACTCCCAAGGACTTGATTCAACATAGCTATCCCACGGGTTCGTAAACCCCTTCCCGTTTTTCAGGTGATGTCTCTTTTCATCTGCTTCCTCGGGTTTCGCAGCGATCTGTACTGGATTGCTTACCACAGCGTAAAGACCTACGCCAATACTTGCACCACCTATTGAGCTCATCTTGAGAGTCCTAGCAAAGTGTGGCGTTTGCCAACGAGGCTGAAGTTTCCCCAAAATATGGTAGTTTCGCGATTCACTGAATAGCTTTCGTATGATGCGAGACAAAAGCGGCAGGCGAGACATTGGATATGTACACGCGTCTGGACCAACTCAAGCGGCCTAAACATGAGCTATATTGTATTCGCGAAAGAGGAAAATCATGCGCGCCCGCCCTCGGTTGCGACAGCCACCATTCATGTACATAGTCGGCGAAATGTTGGTCCATACGGAGATAGCCACCGTCGACGTAAAGGCCGTAGATGCTTCCAGCTCGTCATGCAACTCGCTCGCTACTGGCCGGGCCCACCAAGCAACAACAGCATCGGAAGAGCGGCTTGTCTCCTCGTCCGACTCTTTCGCCGTGCGCCCACGCCCACGTTCACATGGGCAGACAGTCTTCAGCCTTTCGCATAGCTTGCGCGATCGCAGCGCGCGATATCTCGCGGTCGAATCGGCGGAACGCGGTGTCGTCCGCATGACGCATGTCGCACGCCGAACATCCTCCGCCACATGCAGTAATCGGAACTTGTACTAAACTCTGCACACTTACGATATTATTCGCCTGACGGAGAGAGTAGAGGTAATTCATTCATAGTGCTAGTGAAACAATGGATCAAGCTGGATGCTACAACAAAGCTGACTAGATATCGACAGTGCTGATAACTCGGGATTTGGCGATCGCACCACCTCATACTCGTACTCCTGATGGATGACTGGAGGTGATGCCTGAGCAGATCACACCACGCAGTAGAGAGTGAATACAGTGTACATACCCGTGTAACTGACGAAACATTGCCTCGGCTTACTAGCAGTGCATACCCTAATGTCGCCCTATAGCGATCTTTGAAACGAAACTCCCTTATGCGCTTCGGTATCTTCAAGTCATAGTGGTAGCATCTACTGCTGCCATGGTCGCTCTTCAATTGGCACTTCTCCCGTTGCTTCGCATTATCTTATTGCATCTTGGTAGGCTTTCCGATGAGTCTTTCGTCGATCCTCCATTGACGGACGGTCGGGGTTATTATAGTCGTACTTCTTTTCGATGTTGCGGAACTCTGCATCTGTTGGAAAGATATTATCACCCGGAGCAAGCCGAATATAGTATACTCGCAAGTCCTTGTCGACACGCTTATCCTTGCTCCAGCGCATTAGGGCGTCTAGATCTTGACATTGACGATTGTAGGTGAGCTCGGGTTCTGCCGCGGGCTCCTCCATCGACCCATCTGTGATTGAGAACATCGTACTGGACGTAGCACGCCATATGATCTACCAAAGCGTGGAGACAGTGCTCGGTATGTTCCATGGATAGCTATAGGTGGTAGCTACTTTGCTGCCCTGATAGTGGGACTGCAAGCCTCGACCCGGGCACCATCTGGGTCTACTACGATTCAAGTGCATCATTTCAATGTGTTTCTGACTATTGGGCATACTTCCTTCCTGTACATGAAGCTGGATCGAAGAACTGTACTGGAGACATATCTCTTGTTATCGACCACATGGATAATACCCGTCACCACTGGCTCTCGGGACAAGCAACACACACTCAAGGCTAAATTCAGCACGCAAGAGGTCGCTCATAACGACAACTTTATGAACGCCGACACGTCGTCACTATCTCTGGCTAGGTAATCAGTTCACCTATAAGACGGGCTTCTTTACCTTCTGTAACTACATCGAGAAGGCCGCGAACGCCACCGCCACCGACCTCCCGTCCGAAGCTGGTGTCGGCGTCGAAGAAGCGCTCGAAGGATACGCGAAATGGTAGAAAGAGGTTAGACTTTCCGGTTACTGCGCTCTATCCTGAATCCAACAACAAAAATTTTGACTGCTTGACACCTGCAACGCGAGCTCTCCACTCTTTACCGATACGACGCCGAGCAACGCCATGAATCGGCAATGGTTCTGGATGGGCTGCAACGATCCGTTCGGGAACTGGAAAATTGGTGCTCCCTCAGGGCAACCATCACTCATTTCCCACCTCATAACAACCGACTACTGGGTTCGTCATTGCCGGATGTATTTCCCCCCTGGACCGAATGGAGAAACATACGGCCTCGCAGCAGGAAAGACAGAAGAGTAGTTAAACACGTACTTCAGAGGCTGGAGTATTATGAACACAAGCCGACTCATCCTCGCCAACGGCGAGTTCGACCGTAGAGAAACAGCGTTCCGGCAAAGGGAAGACCCGAGGTCCGTTGCAGAGCACAAAGCAGATGCCTATCGAGATCGTGCCTGACAGCGTTCACACCAGTGATTTGAATACCAAACGGAAAGGTCAATGCCGGGGTAAAAGAGGTGCAGGAGCGAGTGTTGAAGCAGTTGGCCGAGTGGGTCAAAGAATAGCCTAAGGAAGACAAGTGATTAAAGTTATAAAAGTTAGCTGGTACGCAAGTACCTATATCATCCGTGCTGCAGAGAGCCATTCCAGGCTACCTTGGAACGTTTACACGAACTGGTATTTCGTAACAAACTTTATCGTCGATCATGAAAGGAAGCGTAAAGTCGATTGCATATTGCTACAAACTCATGATACAGAAGCACACTGCAAGATCACGCACGCCCACTTAAGCACAGCTGATCCATCAGCACACGACCTCTTGTCGCATGAAGATAACGCGTGTTTCAGCCATTCTTCAGAGTTACTAAAGGCCTGAAATACTCTAAGACGAAGATTCATAGCCAAGATGAATCTTGATCAGTGGGTTAAGCCAGCCAAGACCAAAGAAACAAATTTAGAAGGACGGCTTTGAGAATCTTAATTAGGCTACATCGATCCTGCCGCATCTTGACACTGTGTGATTTTCTCGGACTACCGGAGCACGTGTCGGAAGACGAGCATCGATTGAGTGAAGCTTAGCTTTGGTTGGCGCATACATACCGCGCATACAGACAAACCTTGATTACTTTTCAGTCGAAAGTCAACTCGGCCGCGGCCATGTATTTCGACCTAATCCGCAGGCTTGCACACACACGGCTGGAGCAAATCCAAAACGATCGCGCGTAATGCGTTCTGCGGAAGAACACGGGATCGAGGCTCCAACGTCGTCTGTTAGAACGGGTTCAACGGGATGACGGGAACGCTTGATAGTGGTGCCGGGTGGCGTTGAGACCGAGGACAACGACCCAGGCTATGTTAAGCCCAGAATGAAATGACCGAAAATCATCCTTGCTTGAATTGCAAGCCGGTCGGGATTGCTTCCGTGACGACTATGTTACTGCGGGATTAGCACCGTCTATTCATTCAAACGAAGGATGTGTGACTGACATCAAACCTGTCACATATCGAACATACAATGAGAACGGATGCCAGAAGAAGTAGGTTGAATTTGGCGTTTCCTGTGCGACTGTGCCGCTTTTTATGTTTTTTTTTTTCGCATTCTGATGTTATTCCCATGTAAGGATATCTCGTTGTATGACAGTTATACACTAAGCAAATCTTTCCTCCCGATTCCCAAAGCAATGCCCAAACAGAACCGTATAAAGCAAGAGGTATTTTTTTCCACCACTCCGAAAGAAAAAGCGAATTCCATCGCAGATCTTGTGCCATTAATTACAACCCGACTACAGCGGAAGGCGAGGATCGAGAAAGAAGTCGTGAACGTAACAAGCGACCCTCCGGTGGTGGCATGATGCTGGTCGCTACCAAGGCTTGGTCGCATGGAGAGGCTCGGTGTGCCGAGTGCAAAAGCCGACTCCAGAGAAGAAAATCCGTAAACCGAGATAGGCAGCCCCGTAAGCATATTGAGGCAGCGCTAGAGAGAAATGAACAACGTAAAGGTGCGAGATGACACCCTAAAATCAGAACGCCGTAACCCACAATTTCGCTGACATGCTCCTATTAGACCATGGACAAACCAAGTCTAAAACGTGAACCGGTACAAGGAAAGAGTGAAGGAAAAGAATGAAAAGAACCAGTGAAATATCATGCAAGATGATCGCAAGCCTTGCGTTTTTCGTGAAATCCGAGGCGCACCAATATGCTTGCAGATAGCAGAAGGAATAAGGCAATGTCACCTAAGAGTGTCCGGTAGTAGGCTTGAGGGAATCGAAGTAGCCATTGTATCAGTGATCAGGATTGGGTGGGCCGGTAAGCCATGGTACTTCGCGAAACTGAAAGTAACTTTTGAACATAGGATGCTAAATGGGCTGCCGACATGTATCCGGAAAGTTGGCAAGGCGATGGCTTGACATGCGGGAGGAGGTGGCGGGCGATAGACGGCAAGGGGGGGCCATAACCAGTGCCATGTAGTTGGCCGGGTGCCTCTGCACGCAGTAGGCACATCCGCAGCTGAGACCATGCTGATTCCATGCAGACGGTGTGTACTGAGTGAGTAGCGGGGTGGGCATAATTGGAACGGCGCTGAAGCGCGCAGGGGCGGGGAGACAAGGGTGGGAAACCGAACATGGTGCGTGCGACGAGTATCCCTCAGCTGAGCCCAAGTCCCGTTGTGCCATATTACTCTTGTAGGGCCCGTGGTAGGTGCTGACGCAGGAGAGTGTTCGCTAGCGGACCGCCATGGGTCGTACTGCGAGTAGGTCGGGGGTTGTAAAGTGTGGCCGACTTGGGCGCAAGTCGTACGGTGGAGTGTAGGCTGGTGCATCGGCAGAGGAGGAAGCGGCTTGTTAGTTGATTTAGCGTCGTTGTACCGATGTGTCGATAGGCTGAGCTTGTGCTACGACCAAGCGGGCGGCAGCACTGTTCTGATAATCCTTCCAGTGGCGAGATGGGTCCAACCATGGGGATGGATCGCGAATGAAGCTTGAACTTGATGTCTACGAGCCACTCCAGCTCCAGCTCATTCAGCTCATGAACCTGAATACCGCTACTTCTGCCCACGAACGGTTGATAAGGTGTTGTCGTCCAAAATTTGCTGCCCAGACAAGCGCGATGGTGAGGAGACGGAACAGAGATGTCGGTCTTGGGCTCGTGAGCTAGCATAGGCATCCTGCTGGACAGGTAATACATGCTAAGCAGGATTTGCCGAGGGCAGCCGTTTTGGCGCAAGCCCTGGTGTACCATTTGCGGAACGACGAGGCATCATGGCGCGGGGTGATGAGTCGTAGGGCTGTCTCGCCACGAAATCGGTCATGACGTCCCTGTCATAATCCAGCTTTCAGACACAGCCGACAGAGGCTTCTCTTCCTTGGCGGGCTGACTCATTCGCTGTTGTACTCGTGCACGCGCTGCTGCTGCATAGCCGCCTCTGCCAACGCGTGGCCGGACTGTGCGCGCATGGGTGAAGGGTGGTTGCGCCCATGGATCGTAAAGGAGCTCGCAGTGGAAGGCTGGAGGCGCACTGCTGAGGTAGGTGCCGGCCTGCGGGTTACATGGAGGCATGGCGATGGCCAGTTGGCCGTAGGGTCTGCGAGTACATCATCTTGCTGCGGATCGTGGGGCCGCGTACGCGGGCGCTGCGGTGGGTATGACGCGCCACAAGGCAGAGTGGTAGCTAGGGACGACTCCTGAGATAGCCGTGGCATTTTATGCCGGGGGTAGAAGGAGGCATGATGGTGGGGGACTGCCGCAGAGAGAAGACTGGCGAGGCTCCTGGAGTCGTGTTAGTGAGTGCTGGCGTGACGGGCGTGCCCGCGGCTTGTGACTACAGTCTTCACGTCTCGCGCCGCCTCTAGAGTGCCTACGGACCCTCAGAAAGATGGCTCATTCAAGGAGATGCGACGTCCGGTGTTTGTGGGGATGGAAATGGTCGCGCTGGTGGTTGCGCGGAGGCGGTGGGTGGCCGGAGAAGTGCCTGGAAGGGAGGCAGAGGGTGCGGCGACAGGTGAAGGGCAGCTCGAGGGTGATGGAGCGCAGGCAGGCCGGGCTAAGTCAATAGATCCGGCGATGCGAGGTCGTGGTTGGAGATGTCGCGGAGAGTCGAGGTCGCTGGGGATGGGCGGCAAAAGAAAACGGGTTGAAACCAAGGCGAATTACACAGTACAAGCCCAAACCAAAGCCTAAGAAAGCACTCGCAGCGTGTGGACAGGCGGCGGAGGGGACGAGGCGTTGGGTGTCGGAGCCAGACGGACACGTCTACCCGTGAGTGCAGGTGTGCTCGTTTGCAAGCCAGCGAGACAGAGCAAGCGTCGGGTGGTGCTGGTGAGCGGGCTGGGGATGCCGGACAGCCGAGATTGAGAGCGCACGTCCGTTGGGGCTTGGGGACTGTGTCGCGACGAGCAACGCCTGCGACGACGACAGGACGAGGGAGATGGGGAGACGGGGCACGGGGGAGAGGTGAGGCAGAGGAAGGGGAGGCAGAGGGCGGGATGTGGATGTATTCGCACACACCGTTAGCGAAGGCCAGTAGCGCACAGCAGCAGCAGCAGCAGCGAAGGGGCTCACTCGGCTACAACCTGCGGCCCGCCAGACCGTCGCCGCCAAGGCCGCACCCCTCTAATTTTCATTGCCTGCCCCTCCTCCACTCATGTGCTATGAAAACCGGCCGCTTGCAGTTAGTGGGTCGCAGAAGTCGAATCAGCCCGCGTTTTGCGGGACTGCCACTCATGACT